CTGGTGTGGGCCGGCAACAACCCTGGTTTAATGGCAGCAGGAAAGGCCCTCGGAAGCTGAGCCTGTGTGGCTTCTGGACTGTGTTTCCTTCCTCCCTGACAAGCAGCAGCCTGCACCCCACCTTCCCTGGGAAACTTGGTGACTGGGAGGGAGGGAGGTTGGAGGTGGGGGCGAGAGGCTGACACCAAGGTTCTAGGTGCAGGAATCAGAGGGAGAACTCGGTTGAATCAAGTTCTCCACACCTGGCTCCAGGAGATCCTCTGAGCTTGCTTCCTCTCTTCCAGTTCCCGCTCCACCTCCCTCGCTGGCCACAGGGAACACATGATGTGAAAAGAGGTTGGGAAAAAGTTAGACGTGCATAAATGTGACCAAACAGAGAACTCTGGGTACCTAGGCCTGCTCGGGCAAACTGCCAAGTGAGACTAGCGGCCCCATGTCCCAGATATGGGAGCTAGGAAGCTGCATGGGGTGGTAGGTGCCGGAGACGGCTAAAGCTCACCATTAGAGGACCTACTGGTGACAAGAATTCAAAGAGGGGGAAGCACACTCAAACGAGTGTCCCATCAGAGCCATTCCTGGCAGTGTGCCCAGGTTCTTGCTGGCACTTGGTGACCCAGGCACTGCCTGGTGCCAAGATTATGGCCTGGTGGGCCTGGGCAGGGAACCTCAAGGTAAATGGAGCCCCAACCCCCACAATGAGGACTGTCACCCGCCCTAAGCTGCCTAGAATCAGCAAAAGCACCTCTAGTGTGGCCTGCAGGCAACAAGCAGAAAGGCCACCGGCATTTCCCCTGTCTGCAAAAGAGATCCCCTGAGTGGAGCTGGGCAGAGGCAACTAGCCCTCTGGGCTCAGCGGGACAGCAGGAGGGTGGAGCTGGCTGGTACAGGCTGCAGAACAAGGGAGCTAAAGAGTGTCTTCCGGAAGCCAGCCTGCTACGATCCAAGACGAGGCAGCACCGTTGGCCCTGGTGTGCCACCCTTAACTGCCCTCAACCCTCCCCCAGCGCCCCTCTCTCCTCCTCCCTGGGACTTGTGGAATCCAGATCATTCCTTGCATTGTCCCCTGTCTTAATGACCCCTCCAAATGCTCTAACCCCACTCCAGACCCCATCTGCAGCCTCAGGATCCCTGGCTGCAGAGGCTACAGCCCTGAGGTCATGGGTGCTATCAGCATGGTAATTCTCCAGTCACCCAGCCCCCTCCTGCTTCTCTTAAGAGTGCTCAGAGAAGCATCCCTACAGGGAGCCCTGGAAGGCAAAGTGTGGGCTGGATCCCACAGCCAGAGAACACCTGGCTGACTAGGGAGGTGGCTTAGGCACTTTTATCTTCTCTAGCTCCTTCAACCCCAGGCCACCCAACATCGGGTTTCACAGGGTACCTTGGGCTGCTGTGAACTCACCGGAGAGGGATCTTGACTCGGAGGTAACGATCCACAGCAATAGCGAGCAGAGCCAGGATGGAGCTCTGGGTGAGGATGAGGACAGGGCAGGCCACCATGAGGCAGGTGTGGAAGTAGGTCTGTGGCCCAATGTTGATAAGGATGGCCAGTGGAATAACCAGAGCGCCAACGGCCACATCAGCTACCGCCAGCGACACGATGAAATAGAAGGTGGCATCGCGAAGCGCCTGGTTCACCTTCACAGCCCAAATCACCAGCACGTTTCCAGGCACAGAGACCAAGGCAATGAGCACCTCGATGCCAATGTAGGCAGCCTGGAAGGCTGAGATGTAGGGCGGCATGGTGGGCAGGCCCTGGGCACATCAGCAGACAGGCGCCCTGGGGCACGAGGCCAGCACCTGTGGTCAGGAAGCCTGCAGTGGGGATGCCAGCCTGGGAAGGAGGGGACATAGGCAGCCCTGCGAAGATGTGCCCCAGTTAGCAGATGCAGTGCCTGCCCAGGCTGGCCAGGCACTCAGCCTCACTATCTGCTTAACCTCTGTCCCCTCCCCTTGTCCTCAGAGGTTCCATTCAGCAACTTAAAATAGCAACACTCACTCCACCACTGGCTTTTGTATCAGGTGTGAGGTGGCTCCCAGGACACTCACTCCATAAGGATCCCCTATGCATCCGCAATGCCCACAGGTGTCCGCCGACCCAGAGGCAGGGCGCTCACCATCCTGACTGCCAACCAGCAGGGGGTCCCAAAGGCGTTGCCTTAAGTTCCCTGGGCGGCTTTCCGGAGCCGCGCCGGGCAGGGCTGGGCTCTGGGCACCGTGCGCGCACCGGCTCATCGTTCTCCAGGCTCCCGCCGCTGCACTCCCAGCCCGGCCTTTCAAGCAATCACATGGTGCGGCAGAGGCTCAGCCCCGGACGCTTTTAAAGAGGTAGTGTCCTGTTTCGTACCTGGGACTGGATGGCAGGCATGAATCTGAGGGACTAAGCCCAGGACCTGACGGGTCCATAGGCTCTTATTCCCCGCCTGTGCGCACGCCTGCCTGCCCGGTGCCCACCCACCTGGGACGCCTCTGGAGCCCGACTCTTAACAGTCCCTGGTCCCGCTCCACCTTAGAATCCTTGCCCAATCTACTGCCCCATGGGGGGGGCATTCCAGTCGTTTCATCCACCCCTTTCCTGCACATTCATGGTGCACGAACTGAGACACAGACTTACCCAAGGTCACACCAAAGCTGTCAGAGCTTCTGGCCACCTGAACTGTTTTGTCAAGTGTCCCCAAATCTCTAAACCTTGGGCAGTCGCTCCCTCAGAAGATGCCAGGAGAACCCAGAGCTAGCCTGTTAGGTCCAAGGGGATGGTAGCCAGCCGAGACTCCACTCTGGCGCCAGCGCCTTCGTCGCCCCCAGAGCGGGAGCTGAGTGACAATCGGGCTCCGCACACCGGGAGGGGGAGGGGGCGGGGGCGGCGGCGGCACCCGCGGGCCCCTCCCTCGTCGCCCTCCGTCTCCTCCCCTGCCCCCTCCTCTAAACAAAGGAAGTGATTCTGTGTGAGAAAAGCTGAGAAAACATGAGCTTCTCCAATGGTGTGATGTATGAATCCGGCCTCGGGACAGTACGGAGGTGTAGCCTCCCGTGTTCTCTCACTCTCTTCTCAATGCCGCAGGAGGGCGGGTGGCAAAGCCCTGATCACCTGCGGGACTCTAGAAGGCCCCGGTCTCCCACAAGCACCAATGGTTGTCGGCACGGCCCCTCCCCTAATCCCAAAACCTACTCTCTTCAGGAAAGCCGTGCCTGCACTGTCAGGAAGGTACAGGCTTCCAGCTCACACGCTACTTTGCAGGCGGTCTCCTGAGTCATTATATCCCTTTCTCATCCATCTTTCAGAAGGCTTGTCAGGCTCTCAGCATTTCCATTTTGCAGATGAGGATCCTGAGGCTCAGAGAAGTGACCCCGCTTCTCCTTATCACCACCGTCAGTGCCACACTGCGGCTCCTTTCTTCCCCTCTTCTTCCTCCTCCTCCCTTTTACCCTAGCACCTAAGACCACACAGAATCCAGTCCTGTCCCTTGTGTTCCAGAAAAAGAAGCAGTCTGGGAGAGGAAAGGAACTTGCCAAAGACTACAGGCTCCTTAGTCAACCAAGCCACTGCACAGTGCCCTCCCCCACGCTGCCCCTAGCTCTCCCTCGCTTGCTTCCAGTCAGTAGGCACTGGCTCACACCCAGCCCCAAGCCTTCCCTCGCAGTGCCTTATAGAGATCCCACCCTGAGAAATCCTGTTTGCATGTTGAGGAAGGGCCTGGACTCCACAGTAGCTGGGTCAGTGAGGCTGGGGGAACCCCAGACCCTACTGCTCCCTTGCTGAATCTCAGGATAGGAAGGAGGGAAAGCCACTGCTTCTGCTGAGATTTGCTGCAAGATCACAGTAGGAAACAGGCTCCAGACCTGTGTCTGGGAGGAAGGGTGAGAGCAATTCAGTTGTCTTCAGAGGAGGAAGCCCAGTGTGGGAAAGACAGCATCTGCCACCATCAGAGAACCAGAAATCTGCGTCTGATCACTAAAGGGCAGTCTTTCTGCAAAGGCCAGCTCACAGGTACCCTCCCTGCCTACCTTCCATTTCTCCCTGCTTCTAAGAGCAAACTGACATTCTACCACTGCCCACACCCTGTCAGCAAGAGGTTGAGGTCTGTGTGGCATCTCTGCCTCTTGGCTCTTTCTTTCCTTGCCTCAAAGCCTTTAAGGCACAGTCTTCCTCTTTTAATTAATTTAAATTTTTTAAGACAAGGACTTGCTATGTAGCCCAGGCTGACCTTGATCTCAGTCATTTTAGCTCTACTTGCCCAATGCTAGAATTATAGATACAATCCAGTACCATGCTGAGCAAAGAGAGTGGGTTTTGCTGCGGTCTGGTTGGTTGGTTTTGTTTTATTTTGTCTTGTTTTGGTTGCTTGTATGTTTGTTTGGTGCTGAGGAACGGAACTCAGAGCGTCATGCACACTAGCTAAGCGTTCTACTACTGAGTTATACCTGTGATCCTGTCTTGAGTTTTGATTTGCCTCTTGTTAGTCAGCCATATGGCAAACCCAGTGTGGGGTAGGCAGAGGCCTGAGGGAGAGGAGGACACTGTGGAAGGACAGAGGCAGAACAGAAAGAGCCAAGTGACTGGCTGGGATGGACGCCCTGCCAAAAATGTGATGCTGTTTTTCACACATGCCCCAAATCCCTGACTAGATGACCCTTCCTGATTTTCCACGCCTCCATCAGAGCCCTGATTTCCTCATCTCTAGGATGGCTTGACCAGGAATAGCACCTCCTAGAAGGCTATGAGAACTGTATAAGCGGGTGTAAGGAGTGTTGCGCACAGACTGTGTATTAAAAAGGCAAGCAGAAGGCCAACAAGATGGCTCAGTGAGTAAATGCACTTGCTGCCAGGGACCTACAATATGGAGAGAACTGTTCACCAAAGGTTGTCTTCTGACCTCTACATGTGCACTGTAGCACACACACACCACACACATGCACTAAATAAATAAAATGTGATATAATCTTTAAAAAAAAAAAAAGAAGAAGCAGGCAGTGCCAGACCAATGGGGAGAAGGGGAGGGAAGGAGAGTCCAAAGTTCAAAATACTGAAATCTGCCCTGTGCTGATAGTGGAGCTATGTTGGGACCAAATCCCACAGGTACCAGGCTTGAGTGCCCTTAAAAGTACCCAAGTGAAAACTTTTACTAAGCATGAGACATTGGGGCAAGATGATGTCACAGGAAGTGGAAAGGTTCCGGGGCCCAGTCTTCACCCAATTTCTTCTCAGTCCTGTCTTTTTCCTTCCAGGCCTCCCTGGCCCTGGTCTCTCCACAGTGGTCTTGGTAAGCATGGAAGGGAGGGCAGAGGTGAAAAAGCTACTGGGGCAACCCTCTTCAGCAGCCCTGAACCTTCTTTCTGGAGTTCTTCACATTGTCCCCCCAAATTCCCCAAAGCCTACCCACCCTTGGGGACACCAACAAGGAGAGAACAGGTAGGTGTCAAGGTTTGGGTTGACTCTTGGAAGAGCCTGGAGAATGCATGAGGTCTTAGGAGTCTCCTCTAAAGCTAGGCATGACAGCTCATATCTGTTTCCTCAGCTCTAAGACGGCTTAGGCTGGAGGATCAGGGGTTCAAGACTAGCCTGGGTTATATAGTGAGCTTCTGGCCAGCCTGGGTTACCTAGTGAGACTCTGTCTCAAAAAACCAAAGACTTCTAAGGCTGGGAGTAAAGTTCAATTGTAGGGTGCAACTTGAAATACAGGAAGTCCTCTGTTTCATTCTCTGTGCCATTAAATAAAAGAAATAGAAAAAGGAAGGAGAAATATATATTCCTCTATTCTCCTCCAGCAGGCAGATTATTCTGGTTCCTATGCCATGATTTTCAGCGTTGCTCTGGGCACTGCATGCACAAGAAGTCCTGGATAAGAACGGAAGTCAGGACAAAAAGACTGCAGGATAGAACTCCAGTTCCAGCCATCCTGGAGGTGATTCCCTGGAAGCTCCCTCCTTTTCCAGCCAAGACCTGTAGGTCTCTTCCTCCCTCTCTCCCCTTCCAGCTGCCTGAGAAAGGGGCTGAGGTCATTTCTTTTAAACCCACATTGTCCCCATTCATCACCTGTTCCACTCAGTGACAGCTAAGAAGCCCCTTCTACATATCAGAGGGTAGGCTGGGATAGGCAGGAGCCTCCAGAAAAAGGTTGCAGGCATAAGCACAATGCCCCCCATGTATAGTTCTCTCTGGAAGGATGAGGGCAAGCCTCTGACCTCTGACTTCCGACCTCAGTCTTTCCCACCCCCACTTCTGCAGGGTGGAACAGCAAAGGCAGTGGAGGAAAGGAAGGCCATGCCCTCTCGTGTGGGGATCTTGACACACTGAAGACACCCAGGAACTTGGCAGAAGGGCCCCAAAGTGAGGGAGAAGGATCAGGGCTCCTTGGGGTCTTGGGGGAACCGTTTCTGCTTTAGGCAGAATTCCATTTTACATATGTGTCATTGTTTTCATGTGTTTGTTTGTTGTATGACTTGGTTTGAACATGGATTTTATAAGCCATGTGGGAAAAAAAAATGAACATTTGAGCTTTAACCCAGTGCTTCCATGGACAGACCAGAGAAGTGAAATCCAGAAATGGAATAAATTTACCCAAACCTCCCTGTAAGTCAGGGCACAACTGAGACCTGGGGAGGAGCCAGGAGGTGAAGAGCTCGGGGGAGCCCTATCTGTCAAGGGGCAGAGAGAGTCCTCTGGCTTTTATTGGTTAATGAATAAAGAACTGCTTTGATCCTCTGGCAGGGAAGAACAGAACTAGGAGAAAGCTAGGCTGTATGCTGGGAGAAAGAAGGGTGGAATGAGAAAGAAGCCATGGAGCTACCGGAGACAGATGCTGGGAACTTAACCCAGTAAGCCACTGCCACGTGGTGATATATAGATTAATAAAAATGGGTTCAATTAATATAAGAGTTAGCCAATAAGAAGCTAGAGCTAATGGGCCAAGCAGTGATTTAATTAATACAGTTTCTGTGTGACTATTTCAGGGCTAAGCTAGCTGGGCAGCCAGGAAGCAACAAGCCATCTTTCTCCAACAGTCCTCAGCTTCCAGCTCTCTCCATCTCACCAGGAAGTGGGACAGGATGCAGACACATCCTGTGGGAGCCAGGGACCCATGCCGAAAGCACAAGAAAGGCCTTACACAAATGTATAGCAGTTGGCCGTCAGGAAAGATTTTCCCACAGACAGCATCTCTGAACTGCTCACTACACACCTAGGAGGTAGCAAAACTGGAGCTCTTAGCTCCAAATCACAGACAAGTCAAGCTTAGCAAGGCTCAAATGAAGCCATGTGCATGGCTGAGACTGGAACTGGTATCTTAGGTTCAGCAAGGTTGGGATGAGATCTCCCTGAAGGAGAACCTCGGCAGCCTACTTCATTTACTCGGCTGTACTGCCTGAAACCCACTGTGAAGGGGGCGGGGGGCGGGGTACCACCTGCTCAGAGTCTGCCAGAGCTCACGGTTGTGTGTTCCAGGTGCCACAGACTAGGCAGGGCGCTTCCTGAGCAGGCACTGGCTGGACAATTTCCAGAGAAAGCAAGTTGAGCCTGGGCCTGAGGAGGGGCAGAATGGTCTGTGTTTGTGGGGAAAGACAGGTGGCATGGGAAGGACCTTTGTGGGTAGACAAAACAAACAGCTTGGAGGTGCAAAGTGTTTGCTGTATCTTGGGGAAGATGAGGGGCTTGATGAGGTCTGGGCAGCATAGTGACAGTGACCAAACCTCCAGGGTGGGGCACCAATAGTGCCAGAGGTCTCAGCTCCACCTTTAGCATGGGCAAGCGCAAAAGTTCCCCCACATTCCCTGACTCCAATTCTCTTATCCTGTAGGAGAAATAGCAGCCCTGTCTCTCTTGTTAAAATGAAAGTACATCTCAGAATGTAAAATAATCAACCAATCATAACCTACTTTGTTGGTATTTGAAAGCTCTCAAGGATTTTGAACAGGGGACCGAAGGACCTGGAAGCTGCTACTTTGTTTCTTACCGTTCTGAGGATTGAAGCAGGGCCTGTGATTGTCACTGTACTACTGAACTTCGGCCTAACCCAATCTAACTTAGAGAGAAAATCCAAAGGGGCCTGGAGGAAGGAGGTGGAGGCTGGACATGTGTCAGCAGCCTTAGTCAAAGACAGTGTGAAACTGAACAGGAGAGGAGCCGTGGGAACAGAGAAGATAAACAGATGTTGCATGAAAGGCCTCCTGGGCTCAGTGGTTGCCCAAGCACAGCATCCAGGGAAGGCAAAAAGGTAAAGATGGTCCAGGGGAAACACTGATGGCGGATGAAAAAGACACTGGCAATGCAAACACGGGGGAGGTCAGGTGAGAGGTGACCCTACAGGGTTCCTGTGGGATTCTGGAAAGACCAAGAGTATGAACAGGAATCTGGTCATCTCTGTCCAACTGGGAATAGAGACTTTGGGGAACAAGATTCCCCCTGGGAGTGGGGGGTGGGGTGGGGAGGAGGGTAAGGCTGCTGAAGGAATGGTGTGAGGAAGCTGGGCTGTGGCTCCTAGAACCCGGAGGGAAAGCTGCCAGAGGGGAGTGGAGGCATTTCGGGAAGAGAGATATTGAGCAGCCTGAGAAGGAAGCAGTCATACTTGGGTGACAGGAAGGGAATGGAGACCCGGAAGACTCCTCATGGGTGTGTGAGGGCCTCTGAGGGGTTAAAGCTGCTGCAGTTAGTTCACGGTGGAAGTCGTGGGTGCAGACTAGTCTTTGAAAGAGCTTGGCAGGGAAAAGAACAAAAGATGGATGGTTAGCTGCAGGAGAAGGAGGTCAAAAAGAGGTTGGTTTTAGCAGCGGGGAGATCTGAGCATGCTCCCAGCTTCAGTGAAGACGGCATAACGAGATGAATCAGAGGAAGAGATGCTGGGCACAGGCCAAACTCTCCACACAGCCTCTGCGTGCCCATGGGGACAGAAGCAGATCCACCGCTGACCAGACTCGGCACTCTGCCCGCAGACCTGGAAACCCCTGCTTCCTCCCATCCCCAAGGCTGCGGGTCCTTTGTTGAGGATTTCAGGGATGCTCCCAGGCCTTTGCAGGGATCTATCTCTGTTGATGCACAGCCTTTCACATCAATAATGACTTGTCCTTGCCCTGCACCAGCTCCACCCTCTGGTGGCCATAGCCCAGTCCACACCCCAACCCAGCTCAGCAGACACCCATCATGAACCTCTTGGCTTCCCTGACCCTATCTGTAGCTAAAGAGGCCCCCCTGGATGATCTAATTGCCACTCTTTGCCTTCCAAAGGACACAGACTGGATCCGCCCCTCGACAGACTTGGCAGAACTTATGCCACCCTGGGCAGCCCACTTTGCCCTGAGTAGCATCCTTCCTGGACTCCTCAACATGACCTCTAAGAAGACAAGGGAAAGTGACCGTCTGCTTCCCCTCCCCTTCACTGGGCAGAAGTGGAAAGCAAGGCAGGAGGAGATCATGTTAGAGCTTAGGCCGGCTGGCTTCCAAATTCTCTTTGCCGCCCCCATTCCTCGCCAGCCAGCCATCGCTGCCCTTCAATGAAGAGAAGCAGCCCTGGCACATTCTGTGTGCTTCATCATGGAGAACCAGCCCTCGAGATGTGCCAGGAGGAAGGCAAGATGGATTTTCACAGCAGTGTTACTCGGAATAGCTTAAGAGCAGAAACAAGCCAAATGCTCACCAACTAGAGTTACCAGAATACATTCAGGACACCCAGTTAAAAAAATGTTAGCAGCTTTATTGAGAAACAGTCTAAGTATCACAAAGTTCACCCATCTAAAGTGTGCGGGCAGTGGTTCTGAGACGAGATTTACAGACTTGTGTAATCACCACCACCATCTCATTTTAGAACACTTTCATCATCTCCCTCCAAAAATCCCTGTGCCCATTAGCAACTATGCTCCCTCCCTCCCTAGCCCCAGACCACACAAATCTCTGGTGGGAAAGGCTGAGACAGAGTCTCACTATGTAACCCAGGCTAGCCTCAAATTTGTAATCCTCCTGCTTCGGCTTTCATGACTTGCTAGGATTAAAGGTCTGAACACCATGCTCGTGACAAACTGCTCCTTCCATGGATTTGCCTGCTCCAGATACTTGCCTGTGGTCTTTTGTGACTAGCTTCCTGATACTCAAATACCTTATACTCAACAACTTCCTCCCCCTCCTCCTCCTCCTCCTCCTCCTCCTCCTCCTCCTCCTCCTCCTCCTCCTCTTCTTCTTCTTCTTCTTCTTCTTCTTCTTCTTCTTCTTCTTCTTCTTTTATTGCAGAAATCAGAGGGATAACATGGGAGCCGGTTCTCTCCTTCCCCCCCTGGGCTCTAGGGATCTAGCTCAGGTCAGCAGGCTTGCTCATCAGCTCTTTTACCCACTGAGCCATCTCACCAGATCAGTACTCAGTTTCAATGGTTGAATAAGATTTCATTTCATGGACAGTCCACATTTTGACTATCCAGTCTTCAGTTGATTGGGCCTTTTGGGCTGGTTTCACTTTGGGGCTATTGTAAACAAGGCTACTACAGAAGTTCAGGCATAAATGTGTACATGAACACACACAGCTCGGGGGACAACAGCGGGGACTGAGAAGCAACGGTAGTTAGGAGCACAGCGGCCTTACAATGGCCCTCCAGTGTGGTGCCATGTGTACCAATCTGAGGCATGAAGGCTGACGTGGAAGCCAGAAAAGCTCTCTCCCTGCCAAGCAGAGCGCCAGCTGGGGTGGAGCACCGTTTGTTCAGCTGAGGCCCTAGGGCAGTGAGCATGTCAGAAAGCCTGCGACACACACATTTTCATAGGCTGTGTTCCAATCCAGCAGGCATGGAAGTGAGGCATGCAGACAGTGAATGTTCACTCATTCCTCGCTCCTCCAAACCGGTCACACAGGCTTATTCCCTCTGCCTGTCTTTTCCTGGCCCCGGTTTCCTGATCTTAAGCACAACTCTAAATGCCTTTCTACAGACACTCCCTTCAGATCCAGAAGGAACTCGCACCCGGAGCAGGGTCACTTGCTTAATGCCAGGGAAGAAGAGAGGTAGCCTGTGGTCCAATCATCTGCCCCCTCTATGGACCCACAGATCAGAAATTAATTCCTATTCCTAAATGCCACTCATTCGATCTGGTTGCTCATGCTGGTGACACAGAGGGGCCTTCCGAAGACTAGGCTTCTTCATTTCCCCTTCCCTGATACTCAGGGCGTCGCCCGCCAGTGCTAGGCAAGCCCTCTACCACTGGGCTATTTCGCTGACCCCAAGTTGAACGATCTCATCACACAGAACCGGTGTCTGGGGCACAGTAGCGTACGGCCGACAGTCCAGAATGAAGTGCTGCAGGACAGTGTGACCACGTTGTCTTTGGGGTGGGGGTGGGGGGCTCTTTTGCCCCTCGCGGCTTCGAGAATGACAGGACAACGATTTTCCGTTTCCTCCAACAGAGAAACTGCGGAGCGCCGCTGCCATTCTGCGCCCTTGGCTGGAGCTCTGGGTCCCTCTGCTGGAGGGATTGGAGCTTGGGCGGGTCGTTGAGCCCGGAGGGCGGACCCCTCAGGTGACATCTAAGAAGACCATCTAGATAGAATACAGTTGCTGGAACTCAGCTGAAGGGCCAAGGGACCAGTCCTAGGAATGCCCAGCAAGCATGCCACCCCGATGGTGACTCTGGCCTCCGGATGCCCAGCCCAAAATCCTTTGCTCCCACCCTGCTACCTCGTGTTTTCAGGCAAAATCTCCTGAAAGTGCCCAAAGCGCATGTTCTGGGAGCCCCTAACACCCGCCCCTTCCCCCTTCCCAGGACGCCCTGGGAAGATCTCCAAAGAGAGGATTCCCAGCACCCTCTGCTTCCCACCAGCCTGCCTCAGGAATCTGCTCTCCATGCTGACCTTCCACCTCCAGTACTTCTGGGAACCTTCATCAGGGACCAGAACCCTTGGTCTGCCAATTCACCTCAAAGGCTGTGAGCTCGGTCTCTAGGGCCTAGTAAATCTGCTCAAACGTCCTGTCTGAGAACGGGACCAAGAAGCCTCAGTTTTCCTGCCTGTAAAGTAGAAACTACAGAATTTTCTGAATGAGCAGCTGGGAAAGTTCCGTGGTATTGGGGCTGGTAGCACTTGAGCACCAAACACATATTCACATGTATTGACATTTGCAGCTCCTCGGCCCCTCCTACCCCTAACACTTAACTCGGGAGAAACGGGTTAAGTACAGTAGGCAAGAGCGAGTTCTCCACAGACAAGTACGGCACGGCCCCGCCACGTGTTTGAGATTTCCCCAGCCACGCCACCTCCTTGCTCTTCCACTCTGTCTCCAGGGGGAGGAGTGGCAGCTGCTTCCCTGGGCGGCCCAGTCCCTGACCCAGCCAAAGGCCGGGTACAGCTGCTGGAGCGGCCTGAATGCCTCAGGTTTAGGGCTCCACAAAGGACAGCTGGGGCTGGAGAAGGAGGAGAAGGGATGAAGATGGGCACCCTGCCCACCGAGTGTCTTCCCTCTCCTGCAGCTTCTTATCCCTTTCCTAGCAGCCGGGGACCTCTGACCTCACTCTTGCCACAGCTGTGGGGGCGGGGGGGGGCTGTCCTCGTTCCCTCCCGTCTTCTGCTCTCTAGGGCCTCCACCCCCACCCCGTTCCCTCTGTCGCCCACATGCTGCCCAGCTGTCCCTGCCCCTGTGCTGGGCACTCGGCCCGCCTGCAGTACTCATGAATCGCCAGCATTCACACTCTGACCCCTCAGCCTCCACCTGTTCCCCTCGGTCTGGGCAGCAGGGCTGTGTGGCCCCATCTGTTGTCCTCCATCTAAAACTCAGGGCAAAGACTCCACTTCAAAACTCCCCACTTCCACCTGCCTACAGTGGGCAGGAAGGCCTGACTGAGAGACGGGTTCCAATCGGGAGGGCTTCATCTTCTCTCTTCCCCAGGCCACCAAGACTGTCCCAAACAACCTACAACCTGTCCTTCCACCTGAAGAAAGCTAAGCGCCCACTTTCTCCAGAAGGACCTTTGCATATTTAAACACATTCTAATTTCATTTCCTCGTGGCCAGACCCTTTATCAATGTACACTGGCAAATAGAAAAACAAGATAGTGGGAAACTGCGTGTGTACACGTGCATGATTGTGTTTGTGTGTGGGTGTGTGCCATAGTGATTGAGGCATCTCCCAGCCAAGAACACGTTAGAGTTCTTTGTTCTGCAAGTGATATGGGATGTACTTTTCTTTCATTCACTTTATTATGTTTTTCTAAGACAGGGACTTACGTTGCCCAGGCTGGCCTTTAGCTCCTGATTCTCTCGCCTCTGCCTCACAAGTCCTGGGATTACAGGTGTGGACCACCAGGCCTAGGCTAAATATACTTTTCTTAATTAAAAAACAAAAAAGTGAACCCAGTACAGTTCAGTTCAGACCAATACCCTCCCCAGATCTTTCGGAGCAGAAGCAACCACTATGACCACTTCGGGGTATTTCCAAGCATTTACTATATATTTGAATAACCTGCCTGCATGTGTTATATATGCACATATATTATAGCACTCACGTTACTATGCAGGTTTGAGTTTGTATTGCCTTTATGTAAGTAGTAACCTACAAATAGTCTGCAAATGAGTTTGTTATAAAAAGCTCTACCTGGGCCAGGAAAAAGACTCGGTGGACAAAAGCACAAGCTGCCAAGCCTGCCAGCCTGAGTTCAGTTCTAGTGCTCCATGCAGGGGAAAGAGAACTGACTCATGAGAGTCATCCTCTGACCTCCACAAAAGCACACACACACACACACACACACACACACACACACACACCAAACAAATAGGTGTAGAAACAGAATTTCAAAGGCCTACCTGTCTCCATCAGCACACACAGTCCTGCAGTCCCTTCTACTGCTGCTTCCTGTCCCAGCATGGGCATGTGTCAGGCGTCATTTTGTCAGCATCTCCTATGACAGCCATCTCCTCCACCCCTGTTTTCCTCCCATCATAAGCAAGATGTCCTTGTAACAAGTCTGAGCCTTCTCCAACCTAGCTCTTCCTGGTCCTTCTTGGCCCTGAGTCCCTACTGCGTGAGAATAAAAAGTGCTACCATTTACACTGTTTCAAAAGCACAATGCCCTTAGATCATTTTAAAGATAAAATTTTAGTCACCTTTTTCCAAGATCTTGTAGCCTAGTCAGGTGATTCCTCTTTCCACACAGAAGGGATGAAAAGATTTGGAAGAAGAAAAGGGGATGGGAGTGAAGGAGTAAAAAGGAAAAAGAAGAAGAAGAAGAAGAAGGAGAAGGAGAAGGAGAAGGAGAAGGAGAAGGAGAAGGAGAAGGAGAAGAAGAAGAAGAAGAAGAAGAAGAAGAAGAAGAAGAAGAAGAAGAAGAAGAAGAAGAAGAAGAAGAAGAAGAAGAAGAAGAAAAGGAGCAGAAAATGTGCTTCCTTATCCCAGCACTGTTTGCAATAGCACCACGGCCATCTGCCAGAAAGGAAACAGTTAAAGGAAACATGGTGCGTCCACTTGGTGGAATATTATGAGATTATTAAAGTGGTAATTGTGAAGACTGAGGAGGAGCATGGAAAATACTTCTATATTAAATTTAAAAGCAGACTACATAATTAAAACTCTGTTATGGTTACAAGTATGCAGTGGGAAGAAGGCACACAAAGGTAGGAGGGAATATAGACCAATCCAGCCAGCCGGGTTGGACACCATGGTAGAAGTCCCTGTGCGCTGATACTGTTGCTTACTACAGCCGGTCAGCTGCTACAGCGCTGTCTGTGTAACAGATGGCTGATGTTTAAGTGAAGCAGCAATAGAAAGAAGACAGGGATGGGAAGGAAGGTGAGTGGGGATGGGGGGATGGCTAGTTTTATGTCAACTTGACACAAAGTATAGTCCTCAGAGGAGGGAGCCTAATTGAGAAAATATTTCTGTAAGATTGGACTGTAGGCAAACTTGTAGGGCATTTTCTTAATCAGGGATTGATGGGAGGGGGCCCCGCCCACTGTGGGTGGTGCTATCCCTGGGCTGGCGAACCTGGATTCTATCAGAAAGGCTGAGCAAGCCATGGGGAGCAAGCCAGTAAGCAGCACCCCTCCATGGCCTCTGTATCAGCTCCTGCCTGTTGAAATAGGAGGAGCGGCGGGGCTGCGTCCCCAACACCCTGGCCGCTTGGCTAGCTTATGCCTGAAATAACA